CACTGGGATGTGGAACATGTGATGATCAACACCCTTTCCTTCTGCAATAAATGCTCTGAGCAATATGGATTCCTCTGAAGATGTGAGGGAGTGATTTTGGGTACCTACACTATCGTATGTGAAAACAAGGGTATGGAAGGCTGTCCTCTGAACACAGCATGCAAACTTGTCTTGACAACTTGAAGGTATTTTTTAAAAGTGAGCCAAGAGCTGCATTTTCAGAGACATTAAAGCTGCAGACAGATGCCTGTCAACGTCTTCAAAAGCATCTCGGTACCATTGCAAAAAAATCACAGAACTTTTATGGAAGTGGTTTTGCACTAAAGGGAATCAAAGAAAAAAAACATTAATGTGAAAGGCAGAGCATCCTGATTATTCTGCATTTTTCATGTTCATTCCCTAAATGCTGTGCATAAGGAAGCATTTTTCCCCTTTATAAATGATATTAAACTAGATTATTCTAGGTGTGAAAAGTAGTTTGATACTTGACAAAATAAAATGCTATATATGTTTTCTTGAGAGAATGATAATATTGCTGAGGAGAATAACTTTGCAAATAGGGTTTGGTGGTGTAGGATCAGGGATTCCCCAGAGCTGTGTTGGAGTGGTGTGACACACACATACCATTCCCAAACCTGGGGAGGCCAAGGGATGAGACCAGACCCTGTCCTGCCTGCCAGACATAAAGTAGATACAGACATCTACTGAGCAGAAAGTGAATTTAGTTATTTGTAAGTGTTTTTAAAGATTTCTATTTTCTAAGTCTGTAAGGAGAAGTTATTTCTGACAGTCAGATATGCTCAGTGCTGTCAACCAGCTTTTCCCTCTTCTGTGCCTCATTCTGTGACCTAACAGGTACAAAGCCCACAACTCCAGAGACAGGGAGCATTCCAGCCAGACTGGCTCACACACCTGTTGGGGAGAAGGTGAAAATCTCTAATTCATATTGAATTCATTCACTGCATTCCAAAATTATCTGAGGGGTTTGGATGATAACAGTGTTAAAATGATTCTGCATTTTCTAGCACAAATGTGTTGCTGTTTTTCAAGGTTCCTTCAAGAGATGCCAGCTGTACATTTCTAATCATCAGTAGCTATTTTGCTTTGAAACTTTCTTATCACAATACTGTCTAGATCATTTGGAATATGAGGAGACAAGGGAGCAAGCTTGCATACTACGGTAATTTTTTATACTTTACCTTCATCTATTTATGAATTTATTATGAAAAGTATTTTTAAACATATGAAACCTGCTTTTGTTGTGAATTTTAGCAACGTAGTGGATACATTGTACTGTGTATCATTAAAAAGGTTTAATTAAACTTTGCAATTAATATCTTTTGTTGTTATTTTATGCATGTACCTTGTTGTGATATATTATCAGAAACAAAATCAAGTTTTAAGAAATTATGTATCCCGTTCTACAGTGATGTACAGTCTGCTTTTACACAAGATATGACCTAATGTACCCTCCATTAAACAAACGGTGCTCAACTCTCTTCCTCTTATCCTTACAACTGTCCATCCTTCCAGAAATGCATGCACTTTAAATTGCTTGAGTTAGTAAGCTCTGCAGCATAACTGTCTGGAAGATTAAGAATTAAAACCAAAATTTTCAGTGTTGGAGAAGTGCAAATAACTTTTTCAGTGCTTGCAATTAAGTGTAAACAATGTAGTTGCAACTGTACCTTCCCAAGGGAACATTTAGATCCTGGATTTTATTTAATTGTTGTAAATTAAACAAAGAAACACCCCTTTCTTTTTGCTTGGCTCGTTAATTCTAACGTCAGCAGATGCATATTTTTGATCCGCAGGAGCCAAATCCTGAATTGTTTGGTTCTGTATTGAGTCTGTGACTTCAGTAACAGCCTCAGATGTCAAACCAGCAAGTTGTCAATGCAATGGCCATGCTCTAAAGCTGGTTCCTTAGATTGCTGGCTGTAGCTGAATTTGTTAATTAATTCTCTTATAATGAATGACACTTTCTTTGCTACTGAAACATTCTGATCCATGTCACTGGTGTGCACAGTCCTGTAGAGAATTGGTGTGAGAGAGAAATATTGCAGGTGTCAAGTTTAACACAAATACTGCAGGTGTCATGTTTAACACAGAAGTACTGCAGGTGTCATGCTCAGCACAGAAATACTGCAGATGTCATGCTTAACACAGACCTACTCTTGGCAGGGATTGACCTTTATTTTCTCATGTGTTCTGCACATCTATCCTAGAGTTTATAAACATGGGGGGCTGGGGGGTGAACCAACTTTTCCCTGTGTTTTTTGGTATGCTGTGAATTCCAAGGCTGTGATATGAGGACAAAGGTAACAATTTATAGAAAGCTGGGTTTCTTTTCTGTAAATACCACCATTATTATAATACAGTCCTAGAACAGAACACGTAGAGCAGTTCCCTCTAAACCTGTAACACCCCTGGCCCTCAAAAGCCAGGCTGTGCTTTCCCAGCACATGCCACTGATGAGCCAGTGCTGTGTCACCTCGGGTGACCCTTGGAATGTGCCTGTCCTGCTGTAATAAGCTCTCCCAGTATCCCCAGAGCAGAGAGGACACACACCTGTGTCAACACAACGAACTGGTGCCATAGCTGCATAGGGTCATCTCCCAAAGCACGGAGTGACACGCAGAGCACAGCTCTGACTGAGCAGGAGCACCATGGGGGCACCAAGGTGTGGCCACATATCCCCCCAGGACACCCCCAAAAATGCAAACCAGTCATAAAAGGTTATGTGGAGGGAAAGACAAAAATGTGTACCACTCATAAAAGGTTATGTGGAGGGAAAGAAACACACACGGGACAAAACTGATCCCCTGCTCTGATCTCTGCTGCCTCATCATCTCCATGTGTGTGTCAAATTAAATCCATATTGTTAACAGGTCTCAGTAACTTGAGTTTATCATGGAAAACAACCCTGACAACTGTTTAGTGGCTTATTATAAGTGCATATGACAAACACTTTAAAGTGCCTTTAGTTGCATTTCTAGGAACTCTCCCTTGAATTCTCTAGGAATATGGAATAGTTTGGATACAGGAGGAGATCTACACACTACAACCATTTTTTATTTGCTGTTAGTGAGGTCAACTGACCTTCATTATGTAGCTTGTACCTGGAAAAAAAATAAAATCCATATTTTTTTATAGTCTAAATTCACTGAATATTTTTTCTCCCCATATGTGGTCAGAAGCTTAGCTGTTAAACTAGCAGAAAGCATATTCCCAGATACACTTCCATAAAACAAGACACCAGTCCCAAATCCTATTGAAAATCCACTTCTTATTCTGAAATTCTTACCCGTGCAACAGGTGCTGCTTCAGCTTCAGAAAGAGGTCAGTAGATAAACCTGTGTAAACCTTGCTGGATGTTAAACTGCAAGGCATGTTTAGCGCCATCCTAGACTCCAGTTCTGGATTCTGAGCTTGGCATACAAGACCAATACAATATGACTTTTAATTGAGACCAGCTGAGTCTTAGGTGGTCTCAATTACACAAAGTAACCCCACCTGTGCTATTTTGAATCAGCACCAATTTATTTTACTCACAGAAATGACCATAGAAACACTTTTTTCCTGAAACATTTAAATTTGCAGGCTGTTTCTGTCCACGTTGAAAACAGGATATATTTCATCCCCCAAGAATTCATCCCTGTCTAGACAAAAGATTTTAATAAAGACTGTGTAAGATACACTGTCATACCATACAATCAAGACTGTTAGTACCCATTTCTCTTCAAGTTACAGAACATACAAGCACACCACTGAGTTTCAAAGAAACTCTTGTCATCCTGGCTTCTTCCCTTTGACACTGAAGGAAGGAGATTTATACCTCTTTCAGCAACTGCCTGCTGTGTGTAGTGTTACTCAGGTCACTATTTCTTCCTTCCTTTAATCCCTAGGGAGACTGGGCAGGGGAACAAAATAGCTACACTGCACTGGGCATCACAACATGGAATTCTTGCTTTTAACCAGACAGAGTTCTGCTGACACTGGAGTGCTGAAATCCATGGGTTGTGAAGGCATGACCAAGGTACCACATCCACCTCTGCCAATCCGTCCAGCCACTGAGAAAACAAACCCACATGCTCCAAGGTCTTTCAACTGTGCATCCTTTCCTCATGTTACAGAAATCTGTGGCATGTCGATTCCATGCCACAGTTGATTATTTTCTTGCTGAAGAAAGCCCCAACAAATGGAAATTTCATAAAGCACACAAATCCTAAACCTAAAACCCAGCTCTTACTAAAACCAGCAGCTGGGAGAGGATTCAGAGCACCACACTGAGCTCCCCTCAGACTCCTGGGGCACAATTTCAGTCACTGACAGGAAAAACTCACCAAGGGCTTTGCACTTGTTTTGAAAGGGTGCAAACGAGAGGCTGCCAGAATTATGAATGAACACTCTTCATCTGCTATTTTTTACTCATTTTGGCTTTTTGAGGTTTGTCAAGCCTATATTGCCACCAAGCTGGAGTTCAGTCCATGGAGCTGGAGAACCTGAAATACCCTCAGCCTTGGAGAACTGCATGGGGGGCAGTGTTTTACATTTTACTACTGGTATGACACAGAAAAAGAAGAAAAACATAACGGAAAAAAAACAGGAAACGGGAAGAAAAGGGAATAAAGGTAGAAAAAAGGGCGGAAGGAGGGAGAAGGGGAAAAACGAAAAAAGCAGGAGGAATGAGGGGAAAAAGGAGGAAAAGGGGGAAATGGGGAGGAAGAAGAGAAAAAGAGGGGGAAGAAGAAAAAGGGGAGGAAGGGAGAAAGGAGGAGAAGGGGAAGAAAAGAAGAGGAAGAAGGAGAAATGGGGAGAAGAGGAGGAAGAAAGGGGAAAATTTAAAAAAAAAAAAAAAAAAGAATAGGAAAAGGAAAAGAAAGGAGGCAGGAGAGGCTAGCGACGCTTTGACCTTTTTCCCGCCCCGCCCCAGACGCGCCGAGATGGCGGAGGGCGCCCCGCGACGGTCCCTCAGGGCTGAGGCGATCCCCCCTCACCGCTCCCGGGCCGTCCCTCGGGGCTGATCCCCCCTCACCGCTCCCGGGCCGTCCCTCGGGGCTGATCCCCCCTCACCGCTCCCGGGCCGTCCCTCGGGGCTGATCCCCCCTCACTGCTCCCGGGCCGTCCCTCGGGGCTGATCCCCCCTCACCGCTCCCGGGCCGTCCCTCGGGGCTGATCCCCCCTCACTGCTCCCGGGCCGTCCCTCGGGGCTGATCCCCCCTCACCGCTCCAGGCCCGTCCCGGCCCCTCAGAGCAGTTCCAGCCCTTTGCTTCCCGAATAAACTCAGTTCTTACCGAGAAGTTTATGGAAAGAAATAAATTACTACAAAACACTGCAACAGATTACCGTGAATTACTCACATCTTTAAGACAAGCTGCCTGGATATGACCCCTAACTAAAAAAACCTACATTTTAAAAAGATTATCCCATAACACATCAACAGGTGTACACTGATTTTATAAATGTAGAATGTACTGCAAATAGATTATTCCTTTCATAACAAGTATTGAATTTTGACATGATTAATTTGAAATGCAACTTGGGGGGTTTTTTATGTCAAAGAGGAGGTATCTGAAAATTTGTTTTTCTTAAAATTTCTCATACGTTCCTCAATACAATACCTTCAATTGAAAAAGGTTTCTAAAGAAAAATATGTGTTACTGAAGACAATACATGACTAGTTTAAAATCCTCTACCTTTTGTATTAGCCAAAATAATTACAGGATGTATTTTCTAAGGTTGGTTTTGAGATGTTTTTTGTTTTTAACAGAACAAAAGGTATCAAGAATAAACACACTACTCACAAAGCACAAGTCATACTTACAAGAAACTTCTGCAAGATCCTCAGAAGTGTTTTTAAAAGTGATTTCAGTGATTGCCTTCTGCGCATCCTGGTCACTTTAGGTGTTTCAATAGAACAATTTAAACTTGAAAGAAGTATTGTAACATCCAGTAGCTCCCCTGTGTTCTGACTGAAATGCACTGAACAGAACATGTGGGAAACACTCTCTGTTTCAAAGAGGTAAATGTCAAAACTGAAATAAACGTTAAAGAAGGTTAAGTGAAAATCCAAGTAAGAAGACAGTCAAGGAAAGGAGAGAAAATGTTAAGACAAGGTCTTACTCTTTTCCTTACCTAAGATAATATGAATTCATCTCACTCTTAGCTGAATAATTGCAAAGAACATTATACTAAGCTGTTTTACTTAAGAACTCCGAAAAAATCCACCTTTTCAATACTACAGATTGAGATTTCTTCTAAGTATTTCCACATCTTAGCTTGTTACTAACGAAGAATCACTACATTTCATTTTAAACTACCATGGCAGGAAATGTTAGAAATTACAGTGGTAGTTCTGATGCACTGTTTTATGGTACTTTTTTTCAATGACAACTCACTATACTTCAAATCCTTGATTAAAAAATTATTTTTCAGGACACGTCACCAAAATCTTTGCTAAGCCTCCTGGTATAACACAAGTTATGCTACACTCACATTTCTCTTGTTTTATAGCAATACCCATATATATTAATCTATTTTGTCTATCACCTGTGGCAACAACTGCCTATTTCTTTTTGTGGTGATCCAGCTGCAGATCCTTCACTCCTGCGGCTCAGTCATACCTTCATACAAACAATCACATTAAAGACATTTCCAACATTTTTATTCCTCGCTTCACCGATTCTCTTACTAGTTAGAGGTCTGCAACATGCTTTAGTACTGAAACAATACAACTTCAAATCATCCTGACATGTTACAAAAGTACAGTCATTACTCAGAAAGATTTGGCATACTTTGCAAATACTTGGTGTATTACAGAAAGTGCTAAAGAAATAGGAGATATCTGTTTATTGTACCAATGAAAAGGCAAGAATGTGCTGCTGTAAATACTTTTCCAATGAAGAAACAGGAAATAAACATTTAGAGCAGTGTTCTTAAAATGCATCCAGCGAGATACGTTGAAAGCTACTTACAAAACACTACAAGTGATAAATCAAAAATCCTGACAGTGGAGAGGGGGATTACGGTGGTTTGGAAACAGGGAAAACACACCAAAATGTGACTCCCATAGCAGCTGTGTTCTCTTCGTGGTGTGAGTTTTCTGATGTTGCTATTGGGATAATAAGCAGTGAAGAAGTTGGCCAGGAAGTCATTTCACCCTGTGCCACCATCTGTCTGTCAATGCTTATTAGTACAGAAATATTTTCAAAGACATGTCTTGGATGAAAACACTTAGAAGTATTTTACAAAAATAACATAAATTAAATTACTTTTTTTTTTTTAAATGAACAACTATAAAATCCATGAATCAAACAACATATAACATGGACACAAGATGAAATATATTACACTAAAGGCCAGATAACTACCACAGTGGTATGAGGCTTCAAGTAAATTATGAGGCACTTTTTGGCCAAGCAGTAGTCATTCATTCAGTGGTAAAGTCCAACTCACAGAAAACACCTAAAATAAAATTGCTAAAGCTTTCTAAGATCCTCAATTCCTCAAAAAAAAATGTGCAGATAAAAAGGCAAAGACAGGACTGTGCTCAGTTGGAGTTCCAACACGGTGGTACCAAGTCAGCCTTCCCCAACCTCCATAGGCAGTTCTATTAAGGCTTTACACATCAGAGAGAAGAAATAGCAACTCCAGACACATGGGAAAGCAAACAGAAAGAAAGGCAGCAGCAGAGTTATATGTGAGCAAGTCCCCAGCAGAACAGACTTGAACTCCACTCTAATTTAGGAGAGCACCCCTTACATGCAGAAGACCCAGCAGTAACACGTGTTGTGCTGTACCAGCCCATTTGAAATTGAGAGGCTGATCCCAACAAACCCTGCTGTGATACCCTGAAGATCCCACATACCTACAGGCTAAATTTTCCAGAAAACCAAACAAGATACTGTCATGGGGGAATTAAAGTACCAGTAACATGAACAGCCTACTATGAAATATTGCTATTAAAATACCAAATATAAGAGGACAATAAAGGGCAACTAAAGCCAAAAATAACATATTTTGAAGTACTATAAAAAGCATTATTGATATTTAATATACTTAAACATACTAATATATATATATATATACTACTAATAAGCATACCTAAGGTAAGACTGCATTAGTGTAGAAGTTAAAAAATTTTAGAAGGCAGCAGTTTGTGGTGCTGTTGTAAAGCACAGCTTGTTTTTTGGAAAGAAAAGCACAGCACTGAGTGGTCCTTAAGAAATCACATCACCTCAATTAGGTGCGAAGTTCTCCAGCTGAAAGACCAGGTCTACAGCAGCATCAACATCCGGTACAATATGATCTGGTTCTACTAAACCAGGATCAAACCTAAAATCTCTGTGGCCATGGAACACGGCTTCCGTGATGCTGTCGCTGGTCTCCAAGGGCACCTCGCTGTGGGGGTTGTACACCCCAGTACAAACCAGCACAGACCTGCAGTGGGCAGCAGCTGCAGGTGCCAGCTGGTTCTCCCAGCCGTGGTCCATGTCATTGTCCTGAGAGAGTGCAGCAGAGCCTCTGCCACCGGAAACCTGGGCCTGAACGCGCGACTTGGAGCCTTTCCTGGAGTTCTCTTCAAGGTAGCGGTTGTAAAGGTTGGCACCATAGACATCCGTCATGAGGTTGTCTCTGCAAACAGAAGGAAGCTCGCTCAGCAGGGCAGGCCTACCTGTCACATGTCCATGTATGAAAGACGTTGGTACAGTTTCAGTTTACAGTTTAATTTATACTTTAACAACTTCATGGGGAGTTATGCACAAGGAGAAATCCATATCCCACAGCTATTTTACTACACAATTGTCACTGAGGGTGACATGATACAAATGAGTCACTCTCCAGGCTGAAACTACAGATTGGAGCAGGGGGAGGGAAAATCAAGGATAGGTATGAACAGTGCATGAATGAGCTTATTATATTTCCAAACATCTTGGAGCTTCTGGAACAGTCTTTTATACAATACAGCTTTATCCCTTTCTATGAAAAGGATTCTATGATGTGACAGCACAGGCAGTAGCACATGACCAAGCTTAATGACCTCACAGATAAATTCAAGCTCTACATTCTCTAACAACTGTCATTTACTGAAAGCCAGTTGGTGTTATACCAGTAAACCTAATAAAACAAGTACCCAGGTGAATCCTTTTTCTTAGATTTACACAGCCTATGACAGAAATAAATAATTAAATAAATAATCTGGAGAAATCTTAGTTTCATATAAACCCCTTTTTGTGCTTCTACAGAAATTGCACATAAGAAGAGCAAAGTGCTATTAATTCTTAAGATTAGAAACAGAAACGATACACCACAGCACCAAGACCATTGGGTGGTCCCAGTGGTGTGAGAAACAAGCTGGTGAAGAGTTGGGTATTTTTCTTGGATGGCGTTTCTGTGTCACTGGTTTCCCGTGGTCAGCTGAGCAGCCCTTACCCCACGGCGTAGAGGGTGTGGATGGGCCGGTGCCAGGGCCGGTGCAGGGCCTGGGCCCGCAGCAGCTGCTCGGCATACTGGTATGTCAGCGGGCTGGGCTTGCCCATCAGCGCCTCGTACTTCAGCTCCCTGCCAGTGATCTTCTTGTAAATGTTCTCCAAACAAACCAGGAACGTCCCGTGCCCAAACCTACAGAGACGGAAAGACAAATCAAATCAAGTATGGATAAAAAAAACCAAACTGAGGTTTTTTAGGAATAAATCATATCCTACAGCTATCAAATTTCCCTCATCATGCAACATTTCTGCAGCTGTTTCACTGGAAATAATGTGCTTATTTGCCGAACAACAAAACCCCCACGTTATTGGAATGGCACAACAGGTTTATCTCGTTGTAAAACTGCTCACTGTAGATGTCCTGGCTGCCTTGCTCTAGTGGGAAACTATCACACACACATATTCTGCCAATGTGCTAATTAGAAAAAGCCTTTGCTTCCAAGGAAGGATATCTGACAAGATCTTTGACCCAGGATTGAGGCAGCAATCAAATCACAATAACAAGTTTCTATTTCAGATTATGTTCAAACTATAGACTGAGAGGAAGGGAGGGGAAACAAGACTATTAAAGAACTACCTTCTGTTGAAAGCAAAATCAAACAAAATCACTATCAGAGGTTATGCCACCTTGTTCTGAGTG